TAAGTGAGAGGCCTAGAAGTAAGAATCTGCCTTTTTCTTCAAATGCGAATCTCTCGGCGAAAAATCATCGTATCGAGATGCATAAAAAAGCATTTTAAAGAGGAGACTCTGTACTTTCGTACGCTTTTGATCCCAATAAGCTACAATTTTTTGTTTATACCGTGCACCGTCGCAAACTCGAACCATTATTTTTCAATTTTGCATGCTCGCGCTTTGTCATCCGCCATTTTCAATAAATTTATTTTGCAACATTGAAATAAATTGATTCTTAAAGTAGAGATTTTTAGCTTCATTTCCATATTTTATAGAACTTTCTATCTTTATTATTTACGAAGTTATCGTCAGTTGAAATTTGATGTAATTTTTCCCACTATTTTCAGTGTACCGCTTTTTTTTCGGGTGAGTGTATATTCTTTTTATTTTTAAAATTTAATATTCAAGTTAAAGACTCAAAATTACTAACCATAATATCGATATTTAAGGGGTTACCTGCAGTCAGTAATTTTGAAAAAATCGATTTGAGATTTTGACATTTTCTTAAAGTACAACATCCCAAAAGTGTCGTCATAAATTTTCAAGCTAATCCGACTATAATTGACGGAGCGATAGCGGTTGTATGTGCCTACTTGTGTTCTACGAAAAACAAGTCGACATATTTAACCCTAGGCTTTCAATTGTATTTTTCGAAGATGTATGTGTGTATAAACGGTTCGAAGTAACTATAGCATCCGAGGAAGCAGAAGGTTTATTATATGGTCCTGGAATAGATGATTATGTGTAAGTTCCCCAAAAAAAATTTTTATTATAAAATATTTTGTAAAAAAAACTTTAAATGCGTTTTTCTCAAAACTACAATTTCAAAGTTGGTGATCACTGTAATTCAAAAACGGCTTAACCGATCGGTCTGAAATTTTTTGTGCTTATTTCAGATACAATTTATGGGTCCCTGATCGTAGGATTTTTTTTTTTCAAAAAACTTTTTTTTTATAACCAAAAAACGTGCGATTTTTTACCGAAAATTTAAATTTTTTTTGTAAGTCCGCCATTTTGTTAAAACTAAAATTTCGCTAAAACCTTCGATCAGGGACCCGCTATACTCTTATATTAACTAATGCAATCGGGATTTTTATTTTAGATGAACCAGTCAAAAGCTACAGTGATCACCGCAAGACACCTTTTTTTTCAGGACTTCTGGGAAAACCGCCATCACATGCTTAAAAATCAATATTTTTGCATAAAAATTTTTTGTAATACTCTTAGAATATACGTCTGTCATATGCTGAAACTTATTTTTATAAATACTTATACAATACTTCAAAAAAATTCCCAAAAAAGGGCTTTTTTTCGGCCTTCTAAGTGCAGGTAACCCCTTAAGCAAAGCGCGAGAGTTATAGCCAGCCGTGTGTAGGATATTGGGTGACCGCGCGATATCTTGATAGATCGAGATTTTGTAATTATAGGACGACGCTACTACGGTTCTCACTTTCTCGCAGGGTCTCCAATTAACGAGCTCCATTTACAGCGTTACTCACCGCCACGACGCGCACCGCTTTTTGTCCCTTCTTATTACTCTACGTGTCGAGCCGC